AAAGGCAACTAAGAAATGCCGTCTTCCAGAATCGTCTAGCATTAGACTATCTCCTTTTAGCTGAAGGAGGGGTATGTGGGAAATTCAATCTCTCAAATTGTTGTCTAGAGATCGATGACAGTCACAAAGTGTTGACTGAGGTAGCAGACAAAATTACCAAATTAGCCCATGTCCCTGTTCAAACTTGGACTGGCATCTGGATACTGGGGGGTTTCTGGGTGGCCTTTTTCGCAATTGGAAACAAGCCGCGCTAATGCTAGGAGTCATCTTGCTGGGATTACTTATGCTACCCTGCCTAATACCCTTGCTCAGGTCCCTGATACAGAGTATAGTGGATAGCACTATCTCAAAAAACAATGCGTTGCTACTGGAACACAAGGAGCAAAGAACATCCCTACTGGGGTGTGACAGTGCCGAACCCCCGGACGAGGGCGACGCTGTCTCTCTTGCTGCCTCTGTAAGCACGGAAAAACACATCTGTATGGCCTTTCCTTCGGACGAAGAAGAGGAAGAGTCATCCGTGCCTTAAAAATAAAAACAGAGGAGATGTTGGGACAGATTCAGTCCGGATTCTTATAGCCTGTGTCAGCACAGGTGAACTGAGAACCTAGGGCGTGCAAACTAGCATGAGCAAACTGCAGCTGGCATAGCAAGCTAACAGGATGTAGCATAAGTAAGCTAGGCGAAGTATTCACATGTGGTCGCGTCTATAGAAATGTGTGGTTAGAGCTTAGCAGGAAATGTACTTTATGTTTTTATGCACATATGTAACCTATCTTCCGATATGTAACCCATCTTCTGCTTACGCAAACAAGTACAATAAAAGAGGACGCTAGGAGCAACTCCTGGCTGACTCGCCCCGAGAGCAATCTGGTGTCAGTCTCCTGATTACTCAAGATTTGGACTCCGTGAGTAGCCCACCAGTTTGGGGCGAAAAGCCACACGCGGACACACCGGAGAGAGAGAGGGAGAGAGTGTCAATGCCCCCCCCACCCGAGACCGCCCCCCCCCGCTTCCCCCCCCCCAGCTGACCTGTGATGAGCACCGTCTTGCCCCGCAGGCTGACCGCGTTCCTGCACCGGGTGGCCGCCACGAAGTTGTAGTAGAGCAGCGCGTAGAGCCCCAGCAGCAGCGCCGCCCCCGCCCCCAGCGCCCCCAGCGCCCCCAACGCCTCCATGGCCCGATGTCCGCTGGCCCCGCAGCCGCCACACCTTTTTATCCCTTTCCCCGGGACGCCACTCCCGTCGCCCTGCCTCCCGCCCCCGCGTGGGAACCGGCACCGCTGATATTCTCTCGCCCTCACTCTTGGTTGACAAGCAAGTAAGCAAGCAAGCAAGCAAGGAAGGTGATAGGAATGAAGAGGATGGAGGGGAGAGAGGAAGGAAGGAAGGAAGGAAGGAAGGAAGGAAGGAAGGAAGGAAGGAAGGAAGGAAGGAAGAGGAAGGAGGGGAGAGAGGAAGGAAGGAAGGTGATAGGAGTGAAGAGGAAGGAGGGGAGGAAGGAAGGAAGGAAGGAAGGAAGAGAAAGAAAGAAAGAAAGAAAGAAAGAAAGAAAGAAAGAAAGAAAGAAAGAAAGAAAGAAAGAGAGCAATGCCCCCCCCGGACCCCCCCTGCCCCCCCAGCTGACCTGTGATGAGCACCGTCTTGCCCCGCAGGCTGACCGCGTTCCTGCACCGGGTGGCCGCCACGAAGTTGTAGTAGAGCAGCGCGTAGAGCCCCAGCAGCAGCGCCGCCCCCGCCCCCAGCGCCCCCAACGCCTCCATGGCCCGAAGTCCGCTGGCCCCGCAGCCCCCCCACCTTTTTATCCCGTTCCCCGGGACGCCACTCCCGTCGCCCTGCCTCCCGCCCCGCCCCCGCGTGGGAAAGCCACGGATTCTGGCACCGCTGCCACTCTCTCGCCCCCACTCCTGGCTGACAAGGAAGGAAGGAAGGAAGGAAGGAAGGAAGGAAGGAAGGAAGGAAGGAAGGAAGGAAGGAAGGAAGGTGATAGGAAGGAAGAGGAAGGAGGGGAGAGAGGAAGGAAGGAAGGTGATAGGAGTGAAGAGGAAGGAGGGGAGGAAGGAAGGGAGGAAGGAAGGAAGGAAGGAAGGAAGAGAAAGAAAGAAAGAAAGAAAGAAAGAAAGAAAGAAAGAAAGAAAGAAAGAGAGCAATGCCCCCCCCCGGACCCCCCCCTGCCCCCCCAGCTGACCTGTGATGAGCACCGTCTTGCCCCGCAGGCTGACCGCGTTCCTGCACCGGGTGGCCGCCACGAAGTTGTAGTAGAGCAGCGCGTAGAGCCCCAGCAGCAGCGCCGCCCCCGCCCCCAGCGCCCCCAACGCCTCCATGGCCCGAAGTCCGCTGGCCCCGCAGCCCCCCCACCTTTTTATCCCTTTCCCCGGGACGCCACTCCCGTCGCCCTGCCTCCCGCCCCGCCCCCGCGTGGGAAAGCCACTCTCTCGCCCCCCCTCCTGGCTGACAAGGAAGGAAGGAAGGAAGGAAGGAAGGAAGGAAGGAAGGAAGGTGATAGGAATGAGAAGGAAGGAAGGAAAATGGGAGAGAGGGAGAGGGGAGGAAGATGAAGAAGAGTGTCCTGACTCAGCCTTTGCAAGCAATGCGCAACCAGTGAGTCTTGGATAAAACAACCCCTTTTAAAAACAGGGCAGGGACAGTCTTCATTCACGCTGGACGGACGAAACCCAAGAGAATTGGTCCCAAATGAGAGTCTTTTCCCCTTCTGAAGCCGGGCAGGAACCGTCTCTGCTCACCTGAGAACTCCAGATTTCATCAGGGCCTCCAGTGCTTAAGCGGAGCAGAAACAGTCCCAGTTCAACCAATTCACTCCCGGTTCTTTCCCAGCAGGGAGGCTCCGATGGCCCCTCAAACACAGAAGTATTAATTCCTCCCCACAAACCTGGTTCCTGCCAAGGAATCCGACTTGATTGATGTACACTGGGACAAAAGGCCTCTCCCAAACCCCTCCTATTTATTTCCCAGCCTTCTGTTCCCCGAGAGCCGGCTCATTGCCTTCCGTTGCTCTCCTCTCCTCTCCGCCCATACGTGCATTTGGGATGGGCCCCACCTGCTCCTCCCCCTCACTCAGCTCAGTCCTGAAAGGCAGCTGCCTCTCCCCTGGGGGCGGATGGAGCCCCCACACCCCCTGCATCTGCCTCTCTCCTTCTGCTTCCTCACCAAAGGCTTCCAGAAGGCTCCGAAGCTGGCCCAGGCTCCCCCTCGCCTGACTCTGCTGCTAGCTCTGCTGGCAGCCGATGGGCCACAGCACCTATACGGTTTCAGACACATGGCTGTCCAGCCTCTTCTTGAAACCCTCCGGTGGTGAAGCATCAAAATCTGAGTGTTTGTCAATCGCCAGGTATTTACACCGCTTGTAGCATCCTGGGCTCATGTGATCACCGGTTTGTGACCTTGTTGTGACTCTGACCCCCCGAGGCCGATTTATCGGAGGTAGAAGGCTCCGAACATGAAGGAGAGGAGTTAGCCAGGCCTCCCCCTCCAGGACCCTCCTCTCTGGCAATGCCTCTTCTCCCAAAGGAGAAGAGATTGGCCAGGAGCCAGGTATCTCCTCGCAGTCGGACAGTGACGGAGATAAGTCTTGGCTGGATCCACGCCAGTGTCGGAGAGACAAGGCACGCAGCAGAAAAGGAGGTGTGCCAGAGATTGAGCTGAGTCACTGGACCACACCCCACAGGGGATAAAAGGGGGTGAGGTGGCCATTCAGACTCTGTGACGGACAAAACTAACTACTAGCGAGTCACATTGTATCTTTGAAACAACGTTATCTGCCTTAGATTTAATACGGACTGGACTTGACAATTCTTGAACTGCGTGTACCTTGTTTGGGTTTATCTGTCGGAGGAGCAACCCCTCCCTTTATGAGTAAAGTTCTTGGCAAGCAGCTACTGGGTTGCTGCCAATCCTCTTATCGAAAGAATTTGTTGTCTGCCAGTTTTATTTAACCCCTGGATATCTGTTTGTGTGCGTGTGTGAGACGGGGACAGAACAGACCTTTCCAGCCGGTTTCTGGTAAACCAAGTCAAGAGGGGGAAGCCAGATTCACTTACTGACCGCAGGATTCAGTGAACTGCAGTGATTTGTTTAACAACAAGGGTGAAAAGAGCCCTGGTGGCGCAGCAGACTAAAGCACTGTTATTAACAGTGTTATTAACACCAGCTGCCTGCAATTACTGCAAGTTCAAATCTCACCAGGCTCAAGGTTGACTCAGCCTTCCATCCTTTCTAAGGTAGGTAAAATGAGGACCCGGATTGTGGGGCAGTAAGCTGACTTTGTATAAATATACTTTTTGTACTTTGTACAAATATACTTTTGTATGAAGGCTATTGCGTAACGCATTGTAAGCCGCCCTGAGTCTCCGGAGAAGGGCGGCATATAAATCAATTTTTTTAAAAAAGGATTGAAATACCAGGCATGGCTCGCTTAACAACCAGGTTGCTTAGGAGCAGGGAAAATCTGGTCCCAATCTTGGTCATAAGTCAAGGACTACCTTTAGTATCTTGTTTTGGGAAGCAAGCCACGTCAGTGCTAGAAGGAACAGGGTCTGCTCCCTGCTTATCTCCCGAACGGCTTTCGAGTAAATAGCAGCCTCATCAAGAAGCCACCAAGAAGAAAACCACAGAGGACAAACCCCACTCCCTTCTAACACTGATGATGTTACCTAAATGGGTCATGAAATGTCTGCAAGGAAACCACCAAGCTCAGAGAGCACCAAGGACCCCAGTCTTCCTCCTCCTCTTCCTCCTCCCCTCTTTTCTCCTTCCCCTTCCTCCCCCTCCTTTCTCTTCCTCCTCCTCCTCTTCCTTCCTTCCTTCCTCCCTCCTCTCAAGAAACCCCACTCCCTTCTAACACTGATGATGTTACCTAAATGGCTCATGAAATGTCTGCAAGGAAACCACCAAGCTCAGAAGGCACCAAGGACCCCACAGCCTTCCTCCTCCTCCTCCCCCCTCCTCTTGGGAAACCCCTAATACTGGTGAGAAAAGAGAGACTCGATGGGGTTTGTTTATTTGAAAGATTCTTACGGCCAGCTCACCACAACAAACCTCACCGTTCTTTCCTGTTTTTAAACTTCTCAGCAATTCAACGTTTGTCTCAGCCACACCACAACTCCTGCAGTTGGATCTCCCGGGTTAATGGGATGCCAGCTTTCGGTTACCCCAAACTCCGTCTCGGTCCCTTCCCGTCTTAAGCGGTCAGTCCCAGCAGCCTCTCGCTGAATTCCCAGAGCTTCTTGGCCAGCTGGTCATCGCGGGCCTGTGGCGAGGGCACATTGGGCTGGCAGTCCACAAAATACCGCCCGCTCAGCCTCTCGATGCCCTCCTCGGTGGCGCAGTAGATGGAGGTCTGGGCACCCGCGTCACAATCTCGGACAAACAGCCTCATGAACCAAAGGGACGAAAATATCCACCATGGAAAGGAGCGGTTGATTTCGGTTTTAACAGCTCCTGAAAGCAAAGGAGAGTTGGTGGTGGGAATGGGCCCGGGATAGAAAGAAGCACCATCCGGGGTGACCCAGATGGAAGAAAGGATGGAAGGCTGAGTCAAGCTTGAGCCTGGTGAGATTTGAACTTGCAGTAATTGCAGGCAGCTGGTGCTACTAAAGTGCTGTTAAGTAACACCAGCTGCCTGCAATTACTGCAAGTTCAAATCTCACCAGGCTCAAGGTTGACTCAGCCTTCCATCCTTTCTAAGGTAGGTAAAATGAGGACCCGGATTGTGGGGGCAGTAAGCTGACTTTGTATAAATATACTTTTTGTACTTTGTACAAATATACTTTTGTATGAAGGCTATTGCGTAACGCATTGTAAGCCGCCCTGAGTCTCCGGAGAAGGGCGGCATATAAATCAATTTTTTTAAAAAAGGATTGAAATACCAGGCATGGCTCGCTTAACAACCAGGTTGCTTAGGAGCAGGGAAAATCTGGTCCCAATCTTGGTCATAAGTCAAGGACTACCTTTAGTATCTTGTTTTGGGAAGCAAGCCACGTCAGTGCTAGAAGGAACAGGGTCTGCTCCCTGCTTATGGCTTTCGAGTAAACAGCAGCCTCATCAAGAAACCACCAAGAAGAAAACCACAGAGGACAAACCCCACTCCCTTCTAACACTGATGATGTTACCTACTTGACTCATGAAATGTCTGCAAGGAAACCACCAAGCTCAGAGGGCACCAAGGACCCCAGTCTTCCTCCTTCTCTTCCTCCTCCCCTCTTTTCCCTTCCCCTTCCCCTTCCTCTCCCTCCTCTTTCTCTTCCTCCTCCTCCTCTTCCTTCCTTCCTCCCTCCTCTCAACAAACCCTAAACCTTACTCCTCCTCCTCCTCTTGGCAAACCATCCCTCCCTTCTTGCACTGATGGAGAAGAGAGAGACCAACGACCAGGGGTGGGTTCTAAATTTTTTTACTACTGGTTCTGTGGGCGTGGCTTATTTTGTGGGCGTGGCTTGGTGGTGGGGTAATGTGACTGGGTGGGCGTGGCAAACTTGTTTTTTTTTTTACTTTTAAAAGCATTTTTTCTACAACTTTAAGAGGTTGCAGAAAACAATGCTTTGAAAAGCCTCTGACGATCTCAGCTAAGCTGCGGGATCATCAGAGGCTTTTTTTTTTTTTACTTTTAAAAGCATATTTTTGGCCGAAGGGGTTGTAGGAAAAAATGCTTTTAAAAATAAAAAAAAAAGCCTCTGATGAGGTGGGCGGGGTAAGCGAGTGGCAACCGGGCCGGGGACCGGTTCGGGGGCATGGCCAGCCAATATTATTACCAGTTCTCGTAACTACTACAAATTTTTACTACTGGTTCTTGTGAACCGGTGCAAATGTGGAGCAACCCACCACTGCCAACGACTTGATGGAGTTTGTTTCTTTATTTGTTATGCCCGACATTGGGCAAATCACGACAAAATTCATTGCTTGTCTCAGCCACACCACAAGCTCTGAGTAGTTTCCAGATTCCCTGCAGCTGGATCTCCCGGGAGATCTCCCGGATCTCCCAGCTTTCGGTTACCCGAAACTCCATCTCTGTCCCTTCCCATCTTAAGCGGTCAGTCCCAGCAGCCTCTCGCTGAATTCCCAGAGCTTCTTGGCCAGCTGGTCATCTTCGGCCGGCAGTCCACAAAATACTGCCCGCTCAGCCTCTCGATGCCTTCCTCGGTGGCACAGTAGATGGAGGTCTGGGCACCCACGTCACAATCTCGGCCGAGCACCATGAGGAACCAAACCAACCAAAATGCCCACCGTGGAAAGGAGCAGTTGATTTCGGTTCTAACAACTCCTGAAAGGAAAAGAAAGTTTGTTTGTGTGAACGGCCCAGGATGGAAGGAAGAACCTTCTAGGGTGACCCAAAAGGAGGAGGAGGAGGAGATCTCAAATAAATCCTTCGCATAATCCTGTTGCCCTTTTGGCAGCCTTGGGGCAACTTCTAAATATTTTTTGGAAGACAAAATGCTGAAGGGAGTGGGCGATGATGCAAAGGAAGTGTGTGTGTGTGTGTGTGTGTGTGTGTGTGTGTATGTGTGTGCGCGTGCCCATCTGCATGCTGAGTCCACTGCCTTTGGATGGCTAATAGATTCAAATGGATAATATTTCATAATGATCTTCTGTCTGTTCCCTCACTTGGTTAAAATAGTGTATATATGTATGTGTGTTAGTGTGTGTGTTGTTGGACACATAACAACACACAACTGGATGGCTAATACATTCCAATGAAGAATGTTATAGATGGTCCTTGACTTATGGCCACAGTTAAGCCCAAAAAGCTAACCCTTGAGGACCTGGCCCAATCCTGCTTGCAGGCTGGGTTCTTGCTGGGGCTTATGACTTATGACTGATTTTCACAGTTATGACCACTGCAGCAGCCCCTTGGTCACGTGATCAAAATTAGGATGCTTGGCAATTGGCATGTACAGGTATAGCCCTAGACTTACAACCACAATCGAGCCTAAAATGTTTGCTGCAAAGTGAATTTTACCCCATTTTATGGCCTTTCTTGCTGCCGGGGTTGCTTCCATATGATAGAAATCTAGGTTGCCCATGGTTAGCATCTGCAATCATCAACGGGGAGTAGGGGGATAGGAGCAGACCTTCCCTACCCTCACCCCAGCAATTCCAGGGCCTCGGATGGCACAGGAACAATCCTGCCCCTGTTTCAGGCCATGATAACCGGCTGCCAGGATCCTCCGTGCCCAGGATGGGCTGGAAGGCGCCAGAAAGAGAGAGAAATGTAGCTCAGTCCTTCTGAACAAATCTTTCCTTCAGCCTATCACAATTTTTAATAATGCAGGGTGAAAATAATTCTAATAATGCAGGGTGAAAAGTCTTCACCTGGACTGTTGCACTGGCAGGAATGCTGGTTTTCTATTGAAGAGCAAAAGGAAGTAAAAAAAACAGGACTTAAAGGAATATCTGGATCTGGTTGCTCCATCTGGGGCGCCAAATTTCCACTCACCTGGATCAACCGCATAGCAGGTAACGTTGGTTCCTTTCAGCCGCTTGGCCAACTCTCTGACATGGAGAACATTGGCTAGTTTGCTGTTAAAATATGATTCTGTGCCTTCCATCATCCACTTGTTCGGTTTGTTAGTGGAGTGAAAGTCGATCTTCCCAAAGATGTGCGAAAATGAGGACACAATTATGATCCGGCTTGGAGCGCAGTGCTTCAGCCGGTCCAGGAGCAGGTGGGTCAGCAGGAAATGACCCAAGTGGTTGACCTGGAAGGCCCGGTCAAAGCCATCGGCGGTTTGGCCATCCTTAAGAATTCCTGCCAGAAAAGCAGCAATAGCAACAGCACTTAGCCTTAAATACCGCTTCACAGTGCTTTCCAGCCCTCTCTAAGCGGTTTACAGAGTCAGCCTGTTGCCCCCCAACAATCTGGGTCCTCGTTTTACTGACCTTGGAAAGACAGAAGGCTGAGTCGACCTTGAGCCTTGTGAGATTCGAACTGCCAAATTGCAGGCAGCCGGCAGTCAGCAGAAGTAGCCTGCAGTACTGCACTCTAACCACTGCGCCACCACAGCACACCAAGTAAGTGGATTATAGGTTGTCCTCAGTTTACAGTAGATCATTTCGTGATCATTTGAAGTTACAATAGACCTTCAAAAGGTATTATCACCTGGTTCCCCTTAGGATCACATGCAGAGGTGGGATTCACTTACCTTCCCTACCGGTTCGCAAATGTGAGCGCGCAAATGCATTTCACTCGCACGTGCCCCCTCTGCGCATGCGCACGGCCTTCCATGCATGCTCGTTGCTCACGCATTACGTCCAGGCGGGTGGGCAAAGCCTCCCGCAGTCGCCACTACCGGCTCGCCCAAACCGGACAGAACCGGCTGAATCCCACCTCTGGTCACATGACCACATTTTAGATGCTTGGCAACTGGCCTTCACTTAGCAACGTGTCCTGCAGTCATGTGACTGTGAGTTACATTTTTGTCAAAAAACATAGTTTTTTCCATTTTTCAGCAAAAACACCCCGTAGTGAAAAAATGGTTCAATTAACGACTGCTGCAACAAAGGTTTTTTGAAAGCCGACTGGGGAACTTTGGACCAAACACTAGGAGATGCGGAGTTCTAGCCTTAGGCAAGAAAGTCAGCTGGGTGACTCTGGGCCCATCCATCATTCTCAGCCCAGCCCACCTCACAGGATTGTTGTTTACAGGAAAATAGGAGGAGGAAATAGTGTTGGATCTGTTTGCTGCCTTGAGTTACTCATAAAAATAATAAGGCTGTATACAGAAAAAACGAACTACCACAAATGGGAGAGAGCGGCTTCTCAAGTTATGGCCAAATCCCCAAAGGAATAAGAAATGCCAGAGACAGCCAGAATCTTCCCCCTTCCTTCCCCCCCTGGAAACCCCGGGGAGGGTCTGCTCTCCCCCCACCTGCGTTGTTGATGAGGATGTCCAGACGGGGCTCCGATTTTAAGAAGTTCTGCGCAAAAGCTCGCACGGAGTTCAGGCTGCCCAGATCAAGGATCATCAGGATCACCTCCGAGTTCCCACTTTCCTGGAAAAGGAGCAGAAGGAATCCTGAGCCTCGGGATCCGGTGTGGCTTCCAAGGCTGATCCCAGTTGATTCACCTTCTGCGTAGGTCTGCTCCTCTATGTGCAATCTCTCTGGGTGGTGCATAATAAAACAATACTGGCAGTCCTCGACTTACAACCATTTGTTTAGTGATCATTCAAAGTTACAATGCGACTGAAAAAAATGATTTTTTGCGGTCCTCACACTTACATCCTTCGTTGCATCCCCAGGGGTCACGTGATCAAAATTCAAACACTTGGCAACCAGCATATATTAACCATGGTGGCGTGTCATGAGGCCATGTGATCATCATCCCAAGAGGATTCCGACAAACCAAGTCAATGCGGGGAGCCGGATTCACATAACAACCACATGAATCACAAAACAGCTGCAGTGATTTGTTTAATTATAAGGAGCTGTCCCAAAGAAGAGGGGGTCAATCTATTCTCCAAAGCCGTTGAAAGCAGGGAAAAAAGCAACGGATGGTAACTGATCAAGGAGAGAAGCAACCTAGAAATGACGAGGAACTTTCTGACAGTGAGGACAATCCACCCAGGGAACACTCCAATCCACCCTTCGGAACTTGTAGGAGCTTCATCACTGGAGGCTTTGAAGAAGAGTCTGGACTGCCATCGGTCAAAAATGATGTAGGGTCTCCTGTTTGGGCAGGGGGTTGGACTAGATGACCTCCAAGCTCCCTTCCAACTCTGTTAATCTGTTCCTTAATCTGTTAGTTAGTTAGAGTAGAACCAGGAGAGGTTGTGACAGAATTCAAGGCAAAGCTCTTTAAGTGGGGAACAGCCAAGAGTTCGCAATGCGACTGGGCTGCATCGGAACTGGCCCTGCATGAGGCAATCTACGCTATGATTGGTTGCCGTAAGTATGAAGGGGGAGTTTCCAAATTCAAATTCAAACCTTTATTGTCAGAGTACAACATGTGTACAGTGAGATTGGCTGAGTCTCCCTTTTTCCCGCCTTTTTCTTCTGGGTGTTGTTTACTGTGTAATTTACCTCATGATGTTCCTGTGTTGCTGACTATCTTGTCTGCTGTAGATATAGATGTTAAACATATTTCTTTATTTATATAAAACTACAAGTTCGTGTCAGTGTCTCTGTTTTCATTTGGACAATTGCTGCACAGTTGCCTGACCCAGATCCAACAAAACCACCTCCAGGAATGGGGCTGCCTCGAAAAATATGGAGCCCCCTGAATAATGGATGGAATAATGGATGGAAACTGAACAAGGAGAGATTCAACCTGGAAATAAGGAGATTTTTTCCAAAAGTGAGAGCAATCAACCAATGGAACAAAGTTGCCTTCGGAAGTTGTGGGAGCTTCCTTCACTGGAGGCTTTCGAGAAGAGACTGGACTGCCATCGATCAGAAATGGTGTAGGGTCTCCTGCTTGGGCAGAGGTTTGGACTACATGACCGCCAAGCTCCATTCCAAATTCCAACTCTGTTAATCTGTTAGCTAGTTAGAATAGAACCTGGACAAGCCATGCCAGAAATAAGGCAAAGCTCTTTAAGTGGGGAACGGCCGAGAGTCCGCAATGCAACTGAGGCGCATCGGAACTGTTGGGATGTTGAATGGAGTAGCTGGAACAGTGGTAATTGATTGGTTGGAGAGTTCTGGCCCTGCATGAGACAATCTATGCTATGATTAGTTGCTGGGGTGTAAAGGGGGGGGGGGTTTCCCTTTTTTTCCCGCCTTTTTCTTCTGTGGGCTCTGTTTGCTGTTTGATTTACCTCATGAATGTTCCTAAGTTGCTGACTATCTTGTGTTCTTTCTTTCTGGATGATGAGAAAGACTGATATAAATTTGAATTATATCTATCTCTATCATCCATATCTCTATAATCTTTCATCTATCTATCTATCTATCTATCTATCTATCTATCTATCTATCCACACACAATTTTGTGTTAGTGTGTCCGACTTCATCTGGGCAGCTGCTGCACAATTCCTGGACAGCAACAAACAATAACAATTTAGTCCAAAAATGTCTCCTAGGAAATGTCAAGGCAGCTGGGATGATCTCATCACAGTGATCACAGATGCAGTTAGATGATTAGCTTCCCTCAGATATCGAATTATAATATCTATCCATTGCGAGTCTATGGCGCCATATTTAGCAATAGCCCTTAGACTTAGATACCGCCTCACAGTCCCTGCCCAGCCCTCTCTGAGCGGTTTACAGAATCAGCCCCCAACAATCCGGCTCCTCATTTTACCCACCTCGGAAGGAAGTTACTATGATTTTACTCTAACATTTTGTCTCGTCTATTGTATTGTCCAGCTATTATATATACAGGTAGTCCTTGACTTATATGAATAATTGAGCCCCAAATATCTGTTGCTAAGGGAGACAGCTGTTAAGTGAATTTTGCCCTATTTTACAACCTTTCTTCCCACAGTTGTTAAGTAAATGATTGCAGTTAATAACATGGTTGTTAAGTGAATCTAGCTTCCCTATTGACTTTGCTTGTCACGGGTCACAAAAGGTGATTGCATGATTCCAGGATACTGAAATCGTCATAAATATGAGTCTGTTGCCAAGTATCTGAATTTTGATCCCAAGACCATTGGGATGCTGCAATGGTCATAAATATGAAAAACGGTCATAAGTGCCTTCAAACTTCGAACAATCACTAAATGAAGTTGAGGATTACCTGTATAATATCAATCCCATTGTGACTCTATGGCGCCATATTATGGCGATTTTATCATGGTTTTACAATAACTAAACATACATTTGTGTTTGTGTGTATAGTGTGTTTTATCTGTGTTGTATATCAGGGATTTCATGATCTCTTTAGATGCCATATGCTAAATAAATGAATAAAAATAATCAGGAAAACACCTGGATGCAGAAGAACGGAGGGACGGAGAGAACCGCGCGGCAGGCGCTTACCCGTCTGATGTCGTACATGGCAGATTCTCCTCTCACTTTGTCACGGCATGCCAGGATGACACGGGCCCCTCTCCGGGCCAGATCCACCGCAGTGGCCTTCCCGATCCCTGAATTTCCCCCTAGGAAAGGGAAGAGAAAGGATTCACCGAGATCACACAGTCTTTATTTATTTATTTATTTATTGGTTCAATTTATATGCCGCCCTTCTCCGGAGACTCAGGGCGGCTTACAATGCGTTAAGCAATAGCCTTCATACTTTTGTATATACCTATTTAGTAGGGCTTTCAGGCCCCCCTAAGCGCTGTTCTTTTTTATACAAAGTCATCTTATTGCCCCCACAATCCGGGACCTCATTTTACCTACCTCGGAAGGATGGAAGGCTGAGTCAACCTTGAGCCTGGTGAGATTTGAACTTGCAGTAATTGCAGGCAGCTGGTGCTACTTAACAGCACTTTAGTCTGCTGCACTACCAAGGCGCAGCAGACGGGGACCCAGGAGTTGTGACTGCATCTGTGTGCCTGCAGTTTTTGTGGCGTTACACAGTGAAGCATTTCTTTGGCAGTGTTTCTCAACCTTGGAAACTTTATGATGGGTGGACTTCAACTCCCAGAATTAAAAGAATGCAACTCTGCAACAGAGGAATTATCGAGCCCGTCATCTGCACCTCCAGAACTGTCTGGTTTGGCACAGCAGCGACACAGGGCAGGTGCAGACTTCAACGGATAGTGTGGACTGCAGAAAAAACCAATCACAACCAGCCTATCTTGCCTTAAGGACCTGTGCGCTGCACGGGTGAGAAGGCAGGCTGAGAAAATATCTATAGACCCCTCACATCCTGGACATAAACTCTTGCAACTCCTCCCCTCAGGATGCCGCTATAGAGCATTGCATGTCAAAACAACCAGATACAGTCGTTGCCCCCCATCCCCCCCCCCCCCGTACCATCACTCAGCTGAACACCTAATTCCCACAGCACTCTCTGATTCCTGATTTTTTCTCATCTTTCCTACTATCTTCCCCTATTGCTTTCTTATGATTTATCCACTGTTTGTAACTTATGATTAATGATTGTAACTATGATTATGACCTATGCCCTATTATTAGCTTATTCTATTCTGTTCTGTTCTATTCCCATTCCCATTCCCATTCCATCCATTCCATTCAAAAGGCACCCCAGAGGTCTTCTAGTCCAACCCCCTGCTTCAGCAGGAAAGACCCTATATCATTTCAGACAAATAGTTGTCCAGTCTCTTTTTCAAAGCCTCCAGTGACTCCCTCTTGCAGTTACTGGCATTAAGCCAGTTCCACCTAGTCTACACCTATACAGTCGGTTTTTCCTACCTTGCTCTTATCTACGTTCAATTTTGTTTTGTTTGTTAATTGACTAGCAAAAAGTCCATCTGTTTCTTCTGCTTGGTTGGGTGCCCTGTATTACACACCTATGACCATGTCCTCCGTTTTTCCTTTCATGTCGACCCACAACATGATCCTAGGAGGTTTTCACCCTTGGATTTCTGCAAGTGACCTCTGACATATGATGCAACTCCACCTCCTCTTTTGCCTACTCTACTCTACTCTACTCTACTCTACTCTACTCTACTCTACTCTACTCTACTCTACTCTACTCTACTCCTTATTCTATTCAATTCTACTCTACTCCTTATTCTACTCTACTCTACTCTACTCTACTCCTTATTCTATTCTATTCTACTCTACTCCTTATTCTACTCTACTCTACTCTACTCCTTGTTCTGTTCTGTTCTGTTCTGTTCTATTCCCATTCCATCCATTCCATTCAAAAGGCACCTGGAGGTCTTCTAGTCCACTGCAAGAGTTTGCCTCTGGAAACCATTGGGGGAGGGGGCTCCATCAGTGAAGGTTTGAAAGAAGAGACTGGAGAGCCCTTTTTCTGGAGTGGTGGGAGTGTCCAACTTGGCTGGCTGGGGAATTCTGGGGTTGAAGTCCACAAGTCTTAAAATTCCAAAAGTTGGACACCCCTGGTATAGGGTTGGAGCAGGAGGGTTGGGCTAGAGGACCTCCAAGTCCCTTCCAGCTCTGTTATTCCCTTCGTCCTTCCGAGGCTCCCCTAGCTGGTCCAAGCAGGGTCTCCGCCAGCCCAGCCCAGCCCTCCCCCCCCCCCGCTCTTCCGCACCCTCCGTCCTCCCTTCCTGGCCGGGGGTCCGGGGAAGCCCCAGGACGGCTGGCATCTGCGGAGCCTCCCGGGTCAGTTCTCAGCCGGTTTCTTCCCGAGGGGCTTTTTTGGCCGGATTTTCTCGGCTGCCTCTGAAGCGCCTTTGGGGCGAGCAGGACCTGCATGGGGCAGAATCTGCGCGGACTTCGACGGTCGCGCTGCGCTTTTGCTCCGGGATTCTGATCCTGCGCGGAGCCACTGAGGTGGGAGGGGGGGGGCTTATGGAAGGAAGGAAGGAAGGAAGGAAGGAAGGAAGGAAGGAAGGAAGGAAGGAAGGAAGGAAGGCAATGCCCCCCCAGATCCCCCCTTCCCCCCCCAGCTGACCTGTGATGAGCACCGTCTTGCCCCGCAGGCTGACCGCGTTCCTGCACCGGGTGGCCGCCACGAAGTTGTAGTAGAGCAGCGCGTAGAGCCCCAGCAGCAGCGCCGCCCCGCCCCCAGCGCCCCCAACGCCTCCATGGCCCGAAGTCCGCTGGCCCCACAGCCCCCCCTTCCCTTTTTATCTCCCAGGACCCCGCCCCGCCCCGCCCCGCCCCGCTCCTGCCTGGGACGCCCACGGCTGCCCGCTGTTCTGCCAACCTCTCGCTCTCCTGATGGTCTCCCGTCCTGCGTCCAAAGCGGGGTGGGTGGGTGTCCCCGGCCACCCGCAGCCTGTTGCCCTTTCGCCCTCCACTCGTCCCCCCTGGGGAAGGAAGGGAGGAGAGGGAGGGAGGGAGGGAGGAAGGAGAAGGAGAGAGGGATGGGGGAAGGAAAGGAAAAAAGCAAGGAAAGAAGGAATGAGGAGGAAGGAAGGAGAGAAAGATATGGCATAAGGCAAGGCAAGGCAAGGCAAGGCTGGCTCCTCAGGGGGAGATCTAGGGAGCAATTTCATTCTAGGGAGAAGAACTCATCCGTGGAAGGGCTTCCCTCCAGAAGCTGTGGGTCTCCATCACTGGAGGTTTTTAAGGAGAGACTGGACAGCCATTTGTCTAAAGTGGTATATAGGGGTTTCTGCCTGAACAGGGGATCCGACTGAAAGAACAGAGAGAATACCAGAGTTGGAAGGGACCTTGGAATCTTCTAGCAATCAAATTTCTCTGGCATGATCTGTTTTTGACAAACCCATCTTGGCTTCGTTGCTTGATTATCTTTTCCAGAATCTTCCCAGGGATTGAGGTCAGGCTGGTAGGTCTGTAGTTTCCTGGCTTCATTTTTCCCCCTTTTTGAAGATGGGAACCACATCAGCTCTTTTCCAGTCCTCTGGCAGTTCCCCGGTGCTCCAGGATCTTGGAAAGATACAGTTCAGTGGTTCTGAGATCTCGTCTGCCAGGTCCTTCAGGACCTTGGGCTGTAATCCATCCCGTCCTGGTGATTTGAACCCACCTAGGGTGGACAGGTGCTCACTTACCATTTTCTTCCCTATTTTAACTTGTGTTCCTAATCTGTTTTTTATGGTGGTATTTTTGATAGGTTGGACTGGTTTTTCCCCTTTGTGTAAAGATGGACGCAAAAAATGTTCTGCTTTCTCCCTGTTGCTTGTCACCTTCTTGCCATTTTCTCCCATTGATGGAGCAATCATTTCCTTGACCTTTTTCTTGTTTTTTACATGCTGAAAGAAGTTTTTGTTTTGTTTTGTTTGACTTTTGTCACATTCTGAGATCATTTTGAGCCTTAGCTTTCCTGACTTCATCACTGCAGGCTCGGCTATTTGCTGATACTCTGCCTTAGTTATGTGCCTCTCTTTCCACTTTTTATATTTGTCCTTTTTGTCTTATTCATCCTGGTTTCTGTTAAATCGTGGGCGATTGAAGGAAGACTCGACACAATGTAACTGTAACTCTTTTATTTAATTCCAGAAACAGCAATGGCTATTCTACCCCGGGCAGCCCTTTATATAGGAAGGAGCTGTCCCCGGCTGCAACCACTGACGTGCCTCCAAATTTCCCGCTCTCAGGACTAATTCCTGATTGGCTTATTTGAACTGTTATTTGATATCTAACACTCCTCCCCCCTAGTTCAGTGTCCGCCAGTCCGGGGTCTCTTATGTTATGTAGTCGCGTAAGTAGGCGGGTCGTTTGGAGGTTCGACCGGACCTGCGCAGTTCAGTCGTCACGGTGCCTTCGGGTTGAGAGGTTGAGGTCTGCCGCTCTCTCTGTGTGGGCTCCGGAACTCTCTCGAACTCGGTCTCTGGCGTGGATTTGCCTCCTTCTCCCGCTTTACTTGGCTGTCCCCTCCGGCTCCTTTCGGCGCCTGTCACCTCCTCCGTGGTCTCAGGTACGTGCCCGCTGTTATCTTCTTCCAGGCTGGTGTTTGGCATGTCCAGACCTGGCGTTTGTGTATTGGCCCGCTCTGGTACTGCTTGCTTGTCTTTTCCTTCCCTCTGGTTGTTGTGCTGGGGTTCACTCTCGACTCTCGTTAATCTTCCTCTGAGCTGTGCCTTTTCCAGTGCTGGCCATCTGTTGTTTGGATCCGGTAGGACAGGGGCCCCGTCACCTGGGTTATTGTTGCTGGTACCCAGAGTGGGTTTCTGCTCAGGTTTTTTGTGTATACTCTGTCCCCTGGCTGGAACTCCCGGATTCTGCTCGTGGAGTCGGTTGGCTTCTCTGTGCTGTACTGCGGGTGCAGTCTGTCCAGAGGGGATCTCATCTTACGGCCCATTAATAATTCTGCTGGGCTTTGGTGGGTCGTGGCGCTTGGTGTAATGTGCTGGATGGCTAATAGTTTATCTAATTTGGCCTGAATGTCCCCTGGGCCTAATCTCATGAGCGTCTCCTTTGTAGATCTCACCATCCGTTCCGCAAGACCGTTCGTCGATGGTTTTTTCGGGGCGGATAACACGTGCCTTATTCCTTGGTCAGCGAGGAACATCTCGAAGGTGTTTGATGTGAATGGTGGTCTGTTGTCAGAAACTATGAGGTCGGGAATTCCATGTGTGGCGAATAGGCGTCTCAATACTTTAATCACTGCGTCTGCTGTGGTCGTTGTCATGAGTACTACTTCGAGCCACTTTGAATACACGTCCATGATGACTAGGAACGTATTCCCTTTGCAAGGCCCTGCGAAGTCGATGTGCAATCTGGCCCATGGTGTTCCCGGGTTTTCCCAGTCGTGGATGGGGGCTGAGTTTGGTGCCGCCCTCGACTCTTGGCAGTTAGCGCAGGAGGACACCCACGTCTCGATTTCCTTGTCCATCCCGGGCCACCACACGTAGCTTCTGGCCAGAGCTTTCATCCTCACAATCCCCGGGTGCCCATCGTGGAGTAATCTGAGTGTCTGTTGTCTTAGTGTGTTTGGAACAACGACTCTATCCCCCCACAACACGCACCCCCTTAGTCCCGACAGTTCATTTTGCCTCCGTTTGTATGGCAGGAACTCTGTGCTTATGTCTTTTTCTTCCGGCCACCCCTTCCAGATCCAATTTAAAATTCGCGCCAGTATTTTGTCCTTCGAGGTGGCCCTTGCGATGTTGGCTGCAGATATTTGGGCTTCCTCCATCATCTCGATTAGCAGCGTGGTCATCGCTGGCGCTGGATCCTCCCCCGTTTCTGGGAGTGGGCACCTGCTGAGGGCGTCTGCATGGTCGATTGATTTCCCCGGGTGGTGGAGCAGTGTGTAATCGTAGGCCGCCAGGAATTCCACCCATCTTAGCATTCTGGGCGACAAAACGGGGGGTGTTGGTTTGTCCCCTGCTATGATGGCTTGTGGTCAGTTATTAGTTCGAAACTCCGACCGTAGAGATACTCATGGAACCTTTTTATTCCGGCTACTGCGGCTAGCGCCTCTTTGTCCAATTGGCTATAGTTCTGTTTGGGTTTTGACAAAGTCAGGGAGAAAAATGCAATGGGGGCCTCTGTTCCGTTTGGCATCTTGTGGCTCAATACAGCTCCGATGCCAAAAGGGGATGCATCGCAAGTTAGTCTTATTGGTAATGTCCCGCTGTATTGCACCAAAATTCTATCCGAAGTTAAGAGATTCTTTATGTCTTCGAACACTTTCCTCTCTCGCTCCCCCCATTTCCATTCTGCCTTCCTGTCCAGCAGCCGGTGAAGTGGTTCAGCAGTGGTAGTTTTCTGCAGTAGGAAGATATTATAAAAGTTAAGCAACCCCAAAAATGCCTGCAGTTCGGTTTTATTTTTTGGGGTAGGTGCTTCCTTGATCGCTCTCAGCTTTCCGGGGGTCTGTCTAATTCCTGACTCATCTAACAAGTATCCCAGGAACTCGACCTGAGTCTCTGCTAGTTGGCACTTGTCCCTTTTAACTTTGAGCCCCATTTTCTGGAACCTTGTCAGCACCTCCCTCAGTCGCTGCTTCAATTGAGCCGTGTCCCTTGCTGATATTAATACATCGTCAAAATATGGGACGACTCCTTCGATTCCCTGTAGGAGTCGTTCCATCAGGCTTTGGAACAGCCCGGGCGCTACGCTCACCCCAAATTGCAGTCTCTTACATTTGAATGCGCCCCTGTGTGTAACGATGGTTTGTGCTTCCGCGGTGGCTTCATCTATGGGCAGCAGGTGGTATGCTTGTGCTAAGTCCAATTTTGCGAAGATTCTTCCCCTCCCCAAGGAATGCAAGAGGTGTTGGACTACTGGTACAGGGTATGCGCTTTGTTGGAGCGCCTTATTTAATGTACTTTTATAGTCTCCGCACAAGCATACTGACCCGTCAGGTTTAATCGGTGTCACGATGGGGGTTTCCCATCTCGCGTGGTCTATTGGCTCTAAAACTCCCTGCGCGACCAGTTTATCTCTTTGTTCGTCTATTTTTGGCTGTAGTGCAAAAGGGACTCTCCGGGGTTTGATTCGGATTGGGGCTACCTGGGGGTCTAAATTGAATGAGATTGGGGACCCTTTGTACTTGCCTAGCTCGTTGTTAAACACCTCTGCGAACTCCCTCATCAGGTCCTCCTCCCAGGTGTTGTTTCCGATGTGATCGATGCCGGTGATGGCTAGCCCCAGTGGCTCGAACCACTCCATGCCCAGCAGGCTGGGCCTGTCTCTGTCCACAATCGTGAGGGGTAGCGTGGCTTTGAATGTCTTGTAGGCGACGTTGAACTTGCCAATGCCTACCACAGGGATTTGGTTCCCTTGGTAGTCGATGAGCGTGAGGTGCTGTCGTTTGAGGTCGCGGGCTGTGATGTGTGGCAGGAGCTTCTTGATTGTTCAGGATACCATCGATAGGCTGGATCCCGAGTCCACCTCCATTTTGTAGGGTCTCCCCTCGATCAAGACTGTCGCCGCCATCTTATTTGCTCTTCCCGCACTGGCATGGCCGATCACGATGGTTTGATGGGTCTCGCCTCGATCCGCCCGGTGGTCATCGTTTCTTTGTCCTTGCCCAAACGGTTGTCTCTTCTCACTTGTCTGGAACTTTCTGTTGTTCGTTGGAGATCGGGGGGGTCTGGTCCTCCTGGAGGCTGGCTGGGATGCCCTGCAGACCCTCGCTATGTGCCCCTTCTTTTCGCATCTTTGGCAGATAGCGTCCCGAAATCTGCATTCGGCTCTCGGGTGGTTCCCTTCGCATCCCGAGCACCAGGCCTCTCTCTTCCCCTGTTGTCCCTCCTTACGATCGGCTCGAAGGTGATGGACTTCATCCTCCTCGTCCTCTTCCTCCAAACCCGATTCCGCTCGTTCATAGTGCACAGCCATCTCCTCCTTTACGGGGGGCCCGCTTTTCATTTTCTTCATAGCCGCCGCCAATTTCTGGGAAGCTTCGGTCGCGGATGCTTCTTCCAAGACCTCCTTGAATGTAATTTGAGGCTGGGCCAGCAACCTACTCTGTAATGTGAGGTCCCTCAGTCCCAGTACTAGACGGTCCCGCATGGCCTCTTCTAGGTTCAGGAAATCGCATGCGGCAGCTATTTCTCGCAAGGTCGCCACGAACGCACTGATCATCTCTCCCTCTCTTTGGTCCCTCCGGTAAAACTCATGCCTTCTTACCAGGGATGATGCTTGCGGTGCGTAGTGTGCCTTGAGTATTTCCTGCAGCGTTGTCCAGGTCATGGTCTTCAGATCGGCTGGGGCGGCGAGTGCCTTTGCCATTTTAAACAGTGCCGGGCCGCAATGGGTGAGAAAAAGGGCCCTCTTTCTCTGCTCTGATAAGCTCAGCAGATCGTTCGCCTCCATGAACATATAGAATCGCTCCATGTAAGCTTCCCAATCTTCCCCAGTTGGGTTGAATGGAGCGGGCGATGTGATTGCAGACATCACGATAGCCGATGATCTGACCGGTATTATGCAGTGGATCGGATGGGTGGCTGATGATTGCTTGGAGATTGATGTGCAGTCCTGTTCCTTCAGATCCCACCTTCGTCACCAATGTTAAATCGTGGGCGATTGAAGGAAGACTCGACACAATGTAACTGTAACTCTTTTATTTAACTCCAGAAACAGCAATGGTTATTCTAGCCCGGGCAGCCCTTTATATAGGAAGGAGCTGTCCCTGGCTGCAGCCACTGACGTGCCTCCAAATTTCCCGCTCTCAGGACTAATTCCTGATTGGCTTATTTGAACTGTTACTTGATATCTAACAGTTTCTTTTGAGAGCTGTTATATATATTTCTTCTTCATTGGTATAGTGCTTGTTGGATTTTTCCAAGGCTTCTCCTTCGGGTTAGAATTTCCCGGCGCGGAGAGCGTCACTCACCTGGTGGAGCGTTATCTGCGTAGCGAAAGAAATTGAGATGGAAGCAAGCTGAGTAAAAGCGAGGTTTCTTTATTTTTCAGGAAGTCCGATCTAGCCGTGGTGAGGACCAGCGTTCCTGGGTGAGCCGACATCGATATGAGATAAGCATACATTTTTATACTCTATTTTACAATGGAAGTTCTTTGTTTTCTGTTGTTCTTTTGTGTGTGTGCTCGCTGATCGACTTGTGTTTTCTTATTCTAGTTTTTTTGATTTACTTAATGCTGGGTGAGGTTTTGGTTCAATGCGTATCTGGGCGTGTGTTCCTGTCCTTCCTATGTTTTATTGCTTTGACTTTCACTCTAAGCTAATCATGTTATCGATTAAGCCCTCACGCCCATCTTAGCTCTGGTCAGATTGATCGGGCTACTGATTAAATCCTCCTTCTTTGCCCTGAACTGATTATCCCTTTGGTTCGTTATTCCTGTTTCGATAGTTTCTTTCCTGGCATGTCCTGGCGTGAGTTCTCTTGTTTCCTAATAGCCCTGATTATTTCTGTTGTAAGCCACCCAGAGTCCCTTGGGAGTTGGGCGGCATAGAAATATGATTAATTAAATTAAATTAAATTGGAATGGTTTTCCCCCCTACCCCCATTATGTTGTCTTGGGCTCCTAGTAGCAAGGAATTTTTGTG